CTTCCTCTTCCTCTTCCTCTTCCTCTTCTTCTTCTTCTTCTTGCACAAATAACACTCACAAGTGGCTCACACACTCAAAGAGCACTTTAGGGTTTCTTCTTCTTCTTCTTCTTCTTCTTCTTCTTCTTCTTAAGGCACAAATAACACTCACAAGTGGCTCACACACTCAAAAAGCACTTTAGGGTTTCGTAGCTGAGGGTTTGGGACAAGGAGGTTGCAAATGAGGCTAAGGGGTGGGGATTAAGGTGTTTAAATAGGGTGCATAACCCTGAAATTAGGGTTTCACCCTAACTGAGCTACTCGCCGAGTAGACAACTTAAACTCCGCGTATAGTCAATCTTCTACTCAACGAGTTAGGGCTACCAACTCGTCAAGTGTTTCTCTCAAAATAAATAAATAATTAAATTAAATGCGTACCAGGGGACCGGGTGTTACAATAATAGTTGTATTTCATACACATTTCAACAAAAAAATCAACATATAATGACTATCTTCAACAATAAGGAGTACTTTTAGCAACATTATGGAATTTCTAGCACTATTTTCATATTTTCAGCACTAGTTTTCATATTTTCATCAACAAAAAACTTGATTTTTAACAAATTATAGAATTTCCAGCAAAATACAGTAAGGAATATTGATTTTCAGTAACATTTAACAAAAAATTTAAGCAAGAAAAGCTATTTTTAATAATTTTTTCGGATTTCCAACATCCAACAACAAATTTAAGCAACAAGAAGCAATTTCAGCAAAAGTAAACAACAAATTTCAGTACATTAGAGAGTTTGCGTGCAAGATTAAGTATTAATTTCAAGTTAGAACTAAAAAATGAAGCATGAGGTTCAAACATCTTCATTTTCAGTGGAAATCGAAAAGAGTTTTTTTCACCCCTGATCTGATCGGAGAAGAGGGTGGCGATGCCCTTGCTTCTGACCAGAGATGAGGAGCGGTGGTGCTGGAGCGAGGCAGGAGGCATGGGGTTAGGAGGCTTCGATGGGAAGTCGGAAGAAATAATGAGGCGTCGATAAAACAAAAGGGCGTGTTTTTTTAGGCTAAAATCCTTCGCAGACCTTAGAAGTGGCTTGTCCATGTCCGTGGTGAAGACTTCTTTTTAGATCTTCACACTTCGAAAAAACAAACACACTATGAGGTTGTATGTCTGCATGTGGTTTGTGTGGCGTAGACAAAAGTGATTTTACAGATCTGCAGCTAAAAAACAAACAACCCCTTAATATAGTTCTAATTAGGGATGAGTATTAGAACCACTGGAATTGAACCGAAACTGGAACCGGATTTAATAAAATGGTTTAGTTAGTGGTTCTCTATTTATAGCAAAGTCGGTTCAGTTCCATAAAAAAAAAAATGGTTAAAAAACTGGAATTGGTTTTTATAATTTCGTAACTTACTCATATTAAGTCGAAATAACTTGATTTTTTTCAATAATGTAATTTAGTGTTTTTACTTCATTTTAGACTATAAAAAACATATTTAGAGTAATATTAAATCATATACAAGCCCTAGAAGACAACATATCAATGTTGTGTTTTTTTTTTATATTTCAACATGTTTTTTTTTTTTTTTTTTTAATTCTGTCCCGATTTTTACAATATAGTAACTCATTAATATGAAGTCGGAATTACTTGATTTTTTTACAACATATAATTTAGTGTTTGTACTTCATTTTAGACTATAACAAATCATATTTTGATTAAATATTGAATCATATACAAACCTCAGAAGACAACATATCAATGCTATGTTTTTTCTGTTTCAACACTTTTTTTATTCTGTCTCGGTATTTAAAATACCTTAATTCACTCATATGAAGTCAGAATTACTTGATTTTTTTATAACATGTAATTTAGTGTTTGTACTTCATTTTAGATTGTAAAAAAATATATTTTGGTTAAAGCAGGACCGCATCAACCCAACAAACCATATCATGTCGACATATACAATATCAATCAAAAACCAGCAAGTACAGATAATCAGGCTGATCTACCAATCTAGCACATGATCAGTAAACACAGGTAATCATACAAATCTACTAGTCTATTGCATGGCCAACAGGACATCAATCTAGTATACCACGATACATGATCCAGTTGGTCGGCATTGATGTCTTCGACCCACAAGTACAGTGAGGTAAAACTTAGCTCACAATCTGAAATGTAGCTGAACATATCATTGCTCCAACTGCCGACTCTACCGGCCACCTAAACAATAAACAGTGATATAAACTCAAACTACTACTCAAAATATCCCAAATGTCCTTAAGTCAAACTTGATCAAAGTCAACGGTTAACGATCAAAGGTCAAAGTCAACTACAGTTGGTCTTCATGTCGTGGCGATCCCTAGCCACACCGTGGGCGCTGAGTTCCGAACAACTTAATTGGTTAAGTCAAATTCTTCGATTCTAAGAGCTGCACAACTCAGATTTGGTCCATTTCATGGTCTAAATGGATAAAGTTTTCAACTTTATCTCTTAAGACCTTCCATGAGGCAAAGATCTCACCCTTAGGTCTAAAAAGGGTGAAAACACATCATGGCTTAATCATTGAACACTTAATCTTGAAGATCTCATGACCAACGATTACCTAAAGGTTCCTAGTACCAAAAATATCATAAAAATCCATGCTTTCCAGACATCCATGTCTAATGCATGTCTTGAACTCCTAATAGGTCAAAAACTAAGGTTTAATGACCAAAACTCCATGAATGACACCCAAACTCATTTATAAATAAGACCCAAGACATCAAATACTATATTTAACATGGAGATTCATAAAGTTGCAAACTTTATGAGATCCTACTACTCAAATCCATCAAGACACGAAGAAAAGGGAAAAATCAAGAGATCTAGTAACATGGCAAGTAAAAGGTTGGATCTTGGACACTCACCAAGGTCCAGGAGATATGCTACCTGAAGAAAATAATGCTTGCTAACTAACTACTACACGAAGAGCTTCCTTCTCCTTTAAAATCACGAAAAGCACCAAGAATGAGCTCACAACTTCAATGTAGTCTAGGGTTATGGTTTCTGAGTTTGAGAGGGAGATGGAGGCTAATGATCATGAAACCCTATCCTTAATGTTCTTTATATAGGCCCAAAGCCCGAAATTAGGATTTTCATTAAAAACACATGCATGTCGTGCCGGGTCATTTAAATCCCGCAGTTCAAAACATTCTGCCACGTTGTGGTGATGCTCCACCACATCGTGGCCACCCAAATTAAAGTTAATACATAAAAACTTGATTTATACATGGAACGGATGTTACAATATCTGTTTTTTCAAACTTCAAAGAAACCATCTTCTCTCTCTTTCTCTGTCTCTGTCTCTCTCTCTCTCTCTATATATATATATACACACACACACACATATGGTTAAGTTGTTTTGAGAACTTGAAGATGCGTGAGAACTAGAGAACTTAGAACTCATAATTTGCTCAATATTTTTCAAAATGAAGACCATGATTAGTCTCCAAATGTTGCGATGTCTAAACGATATGTAAGCTCAAAACAAAAAAACTTAACGATTTTGCCAACGGCACCATCCTTATTTTCACTCTTATATATATATATATATATATATATATATATATATATATATATATATATATATATATATATAGGATTAGGTTATTTTGTTTCTAGTAACTATTGTGTGCCTGAATTCATAGGATCATCGGATGAAATATAATCAAAGGTCATGATATGAGGGTCTATGATATTAGAATAGGATAACATGTACCATATAATCAATTAAATTTCAGCATAAGGGCATTTTAGTCAATTAAAATATATTAAAAAAAGGAAATTTTCAGATTTTTGGAGATAATTAATTCCTTTATTTTTAAAAATTTGAATATTTTAAATTAATTCAAATTTAAAAATTCGATTTTATTCGGTCAGAATGATAGAATGCCAACCATAAACTAGTAAATATATTTTTCGATTTTATTTTGTTAAAATGACAGAATGTCAACCATAAACTAGTAAAATGCATTCTGAAAGAATACACAAAATCAATTCTTGAAGTAATAATATATACCAAATAATTACATTGTATGATTGTGATTCATTGAATAATAACAACATTTTGAAAGAAAAAACAAAACATCAAAATCTAACAAAAACACTAATCTATTCTGAAAGAGTATTATTTTTAAGCAACACTTTGTACATTGTAGCATAACACATTCTGGTATAATACACTCTTGTTTTCTATGTTTTCTTCCTTCTCTACATTAATGTTAGCCTTTTCAAAACCTAAATCCACAAAGAAAACATAATTAAGTTTCACAAATTATAAAATTCAATGCATTCTAAGAGAATAAAAACTATAAATTATGACAGAATGTATTAAAGACTATAAAGTTTGACAGAATATAGTAGAAAATAAAAACTATAAATTCTGACAGAATGTAGTAGAGACTATAAAGTCAACCATAGAGTATCATAAATTCATTACCAGTTAAACAAATATACTTGTTGTTAACAATTATTCTCAAATATTCTAACAGAATACATTTATATAACTAAATTCTAACAGAATACATTACATAATTCAAGACCTGGGATTGAATCATCAACACATATCTGCATTCATTCCCAGTCATGAATTCAAGAAACAAACACACATGGATTCCCTTGTCAAATACCGAAACCCAAACAACCATGAGTTATATCCCATCCATAATCATAAAATTTTTCAGGAAAACCTAAACATCCGAATTTCCATGGATTCAAATCAAAATAAGATGAAGAAGCAGATCACCTGTTGGCCATGGATGCTTTCGTTAACGTCCTCTTCTTTCAATTAGTCAAGAATCGAGACCCTTGTCCCCCTCAAACTTGTTGTTTTGCTGCTTCCTTTCTCCCTTCTGTGTCAATGGCCAACAACCCCATTTTTGTGTTTTTCCTATCCTGACAAACAAATAAAAACAAACACTTCCCAATTTTAGTCTTTTGTTGCCATTCTCTCCCCTAGTTGTTGGATTATCGGACCGGAGGAAGAAGAGGAAGAAGAACAGTAGGCTGTCGGAGCATACCTCCGTCCACGTATCTGCAATTGCTGTGAGTGATGCCCTCCTCTGCCTCTTCCCCATCAAAAGACATCGCCAAACACCGACCATCACAAACACCATCGGATTCCCTCACGTTCGATGCTCTCTTCTCACTTGCGTTCACAGACCCCACAGCAGTACCACTGCTCCTCCACATCCCCTTCTTTAGCCTCATCGAACTCCAGAGTCCATCATCGATTGCGAGACCAGAGTTTGTCCTCCCTTTTGGATCTGTCGACTGTAGAAGAAGCAGAAGCGGTGGATCAGATTTAAGGCTAATGTTCTAAATTTATCATCGTCCCTTGCGTGATATCAGGAATATTAATTATCTATCATAATTAATTATACAAAGATTACTATAATACCCTTTTTGATTTAATTAATCATGTAATTATTTGCTAAATTATGATTGGTGCATTTAGGAACACAATAGTTGCTAAAAACATTTAAACCTATATATATATATATATATATATATATATACACACACACACACACACACCATAATTTTTTTATTGGTTTAACCAAATATATTTTATGTTTAAGAATATATTGTCAATGGTTAAATCAAGACAAAACTGCACAAATGATCCCTGTGGTATGCTGAAAATTGCCACTTTGGTCCAAAAAGTTTTGGACTAGCACAACAAGTCCAAAGTTTTCATTTTCTTGCGAGTTTGGTCCAATTTACTTTAATAATTTTTGTAATGACAATCTTACCCTTCTTTTTTGTTTTTTTTTTTTTCAGTTTTTTGTTTATTTAAATATTTTCTTAATTAAAAGAAAATAATTCTCTCTCTCTCTCTCTCTCTCACATCTAAATTTTTTCTGAAAATTAATTACCACCATCGTTAATGAACTCGAACATGTCATAAACTCAAGAACATCTTCCCCACCGCCATTGTTGGACCACCATCCATCACCACCACTGTTTTCCACCACTACATTCCGATGCCACCACCGTCCACTACCACCATCTTCGACTAGATGTTTTCTACTTTTACAATCTAAAATGAAATTAGGGCTTTTAATTTCATTCTCGTGTTCAATGTATGATCGGGCAATGGATAAACACATATGAACACAAGGCAGCAGAAGGAACGGAAGCGTCATTGCAAGTAGAGGAGAAATCGAACACCAATTTTGATTTTGGGGGGTTCGATCCTTGGTTCCTTGCTCGTCGCAGGCCAGAAAAGGGACCAAGGGAGGTATCGGTGATTGCAGATCGTGAGGAGGGAGAAGTCTCCAGGTCGACGAGAGCGAAGTGACGCAGGTGGGAAGAAGCAGCGAGCGGTTGTGATTTCGGAGTTGTTGGGTTGTGGATGAGTAAGGGGAAACACGCTCGTTGTTTGAGTGAACTGAAGAAGGGAAGAAGAACATGGCAGTGAGGCTGTTGTCGAACTTGGTGGGTTCAGCGAGGGCTGTTAAAGCAGCTCTTGGTTGCTTGTTTTTGCTCCAGCTGAGGATCACGAGGGGGAGGAGGGAAGGAGTGATGAGACATCGGTGCAAGTGGGGAGGCTCGTGGGTTGGTCGAATGCTCACAGGTTGTTTACTTCTTCTTCTTCGTTTTTTTGATAAAAATTGATAGGGTTAAGCAGGTGTTTGGGATTGATTCTTGATAGAAATTTATGAACGGAAATGATTTTTAGGGTTAATGTTTTACAGGGGATCCATGGGTGTTTGTATGTTTTTCTTGATAGAAATCGATGGGTTTAAATCAATAGCTTTAGGTTGGTGTTTCATTTTGCTTGATAGAAATCGATGGGTTTAAATCAAATTTTGGTGTTTGGGATTGTATGAAGTTTGAAGAACATCATCCGAGTTTCCAAGAAACAAGATAGGGAAGAGTGAATCTTGGAAGTCTGGAACCTTTGAGAAAGAGAGAGAGAGAGAGAGAATTATTTTCTTTTTTAATTTTCTTTTAATTATCAAAATATTTAAATAAATAAAAAACTGAAAAAAAACAAAAAAGAAGGGTAAAATCATCATTACAAAAATTGTTAAAGTAAATTGGACCAAACTCGCAAGAAAATGAAAACTTTGGACCTGTGGTGCTAGTCCAAAACTTTTTGGATCAAAGTGGCAATTTTCAGCAAACCACAGGGACCATTCGTACAGTTTTGTCTTAAATCAATAAAAAACCAACATTTTTGACTCTTTTACTTTTTTAAATATTAATGTTTAACCCCTAAATTATAGACAATATGATTTTCTTATTGTTATCACCCCTGAACTTTGTTAAATGCCACTTTCACCTCTTCGACTTTCTAAGTTTTTGCGTTTACCCCATATACTGACAGTGTTGTCAGTGGTACAAACCTTGTATATTTATCTACAAACACTTACTTTTTATTTACAGAATCGTCAAAATTCATTTTACAAAACGTATTGGCCCCGCTACGCACCACAGTCAAAATACTATAAATACTAGTTATTATAGTTATTATGAAATTCTGAATTTTGAGAACTCCTTTAGAAATAAAATCATAATCCTACTTTGGAATTTGTTAATTGTTAGGATGAGGATGGGGCTTTTAGTGTTTACCTAAAAATAAAGGATTGTGTTTGACAATTTGTGAAACAAATATCTGCCGATTTTTATCCCATATTCGTCTGCTCGTTTTACCCCTTGAGCGAGCATAATTCCTGTGGTAGCACGAGCTCGCTCTGTCTTTAATTAGCGAATTAAGAATAACATCACTTGTAACAATGATTATGATCTCTATTATGAATGAAACTGAAGAAAATTGGTGCTGCAGTGCAAGTTATAAATGCAATGTTCAGCGAATGGGGTATACCAGAGAGTTCAGCAACAGAGATGGGATGGAACATAAGTGGAAACCCATGCACCGGCGCCGCCGTGGACTCTAGCGACTTTGGTGCCGATACCTACAATCCCGGCATCAAATGCGACTGTAATATCCCAAATGCTACTACTTGCCACATTACCCAACTGTGAGTGTTTCTCTCCGTTCTTTCCCCTTCAGAGATACGACTTTGTCATGTCGGAATAAACATTAGGAACATGATCTTTGATTGTTTCGTTTGTTACTTATTTGTATTTTATTTATCTTCTAACAATCATTCTCTCCCTGCAAATGATCAGAAAAGTTGTTGGAATGGATGCTGTGGGCCCAATCCCAGAAGGACTTTGGACTTTGACTTACCTCATCGATCTGTATGAATGCTGCTATTTCTTTACTATACAGTCATTATATTAGGCCCTGGTTGACAACACTAGCTGAAAAGCGAGTGTGTTTTTGGTAAAAATAGCAATGTACTTTAAATCTTGAAAAACTTGAACAAGTGTGCACTCCTACACCATCCTAACTTGTTCAATATTCAACAAGATCACTTTTGGTCAACAAATTTAATCCTATTACACTTAAATAATATTTGATGATATAAAATCACCAACAAACCTCCCCCATTTAAGTGTAATCCTGATTAAACTTAAAAACAAAACATAAACAATAACAAACTGATGCATAAATGAAATGTCGTGACGATTGAATTTCATATTAGTATATTACTCAATCCAAATATTCGAATATCAGGGTGTCTCTAAGGATTGAACCCTTTCTATTCAAAATGAATACATGAAGATAATACACACACCAGTTTACATTCTCATAATTTCTAACTTGACACTATATTTAACTAGCTTGTGTCCCATCCTTCAATAAGCATATCAAAGCAAGTCCCAACTTTTTGAAGCAGCTAAACTTCATGCTTATATAGGTAGTTCTTTTATTCTTGCACCTGCAAATGCAATTTTTCAAAGAACTATTAAGAAATAAATTTTCAACCTCCTTAACTTGCAGTACTGAACACATACCTTGGGATGATCATAAAATGTGTTCCAATCTTCAAGTATTAAGCTTTCCACATTGAATTCAACATCTAATATTGCATTAGATGGGAATTGGGTATCTTAATATAAAAGATTTTAAGTGGACTTTAAACCCATCCCTATAGCCGCCTTGTGCACAAGATCTCTTGCTAACCCTTTGGTTAGATGATCGGCTAAATTCAACTGAGTTCTTACAAACTCCACAGATATCACACCAGTCATGATGAGCTCACGAATCATACTATGTCTAACACCTAAATGTCTAGACTTTCCATTGTACACTTGACTATAAGCCTTAGCCAAGGTTGCGGCACTATCACATCTGATAGAAATGGTAGATATCGGTTTGGGCCATAAAGGAATTTCATAAATCAAATTCCTTAACCACTCAGCTTCTTTACCAGCAGCAGACAATGCAACAAACTCAGACTCCATGGTTGAGTTAGTAATACAAGTTTGTTTCTTAGATGCCCAAGAAATGGCACCTCCTCCAAGAAGAAACATCCAACCACTTGTAGAGGAGTGATCCTCTAAGTTGTTAATCCAGCTGGCATCTGAATAACCTTCCAAAACAGAAGGATATCCACTATAAGTTAAACCATAATTAATGGTCCCTTTCAAGTACTTGAATACTCTACTCACAGCTTGCCAATGATGTGAACTAGGATTACTAGTATACCTACTAAGCCTTCCCACAACATATGCTATATCAGGCCTAGTACTAATCATGGCATACATTAAACAACCAATAGCCCTAGAATATTCAAGTTGAGACACTGGAGATCCTTTATTTGGCAAAAGCTTGAGACTAGGATCTATAGGAGTGCTAACAGGAGAACAATTCTCAAAGTTAAACTTTTTCAATATCTTCTCAATATAATGAGATTGAGAAATTGAAATCCCATTGTTTCCTTGTTTAATTCTTATACCAAGAATTACCTCAGCCTCCCCCAGGTCTTTCATTTCAAAACTGGATGATAAGAATTTCTTGGTTTTATTAACTTCTTCTAAATCAGTACCAAAAATTAACATATCATCCACATATAAACAAATCATGACTCCTTTTCCAGAAGTATCAAATTTGCTATATACACACTTGTCAGCTTGGTTTAATGCAAAACCATTAGACAAGACAACATCATCAAACTTTTGATGCCATTGTTTTGGTGCTTGTTTTAAACCATATAATGATTTCTTTAACTTGCACACTTTATGTTCATTTCCAGGCATCACAAACCCTTCAGGTTGTTTCATGTATATTTCCTCATCCAAGTCACCATTCAAGAATGCAGTTTTCACATCCATTTGGTGAATCACAAGATTATGTATAGCTGCAAGAGCTAATAATAATCTAATAGTAGAAATTCTGGCAACAGGAGCATAAGTATCAAAGAAATCAATACCTTCCTTTTGTCTAAAGCCTTGGATAACCAATCTGGCTTTATACTTATCAATTGTGCCATCCACCTTCATTTTTCTTTTGAGGATCCATTTACATCCTAATGCCTTGCAACCAGGAGGTAAATCAGCCAATACCCAAGTATTGTTATGCATAATAGAATCAATCTCATCATGAATTGCCTCTTTCCAGAAATGAACATCCCTAGAAGCCATAGCTTCATTGAAAGTCTTTGGATCCTCTTCAATATTAAAACAATATTGATGTTGAGAAATAGTTTCATTCCTTGTTCCTTCAATATTAAAACAATATTGATGGTGCTTTTCCTAGGTTCAGGTACAGAAGTTGCACCACCAGAAACATCTTCAGCTTGAGTAATACTCTTGTTGGAAGATTGATGAATCATATCCCTTGGTCTAGGTATAGATGTAAATCTTTCTTCATCAAAGATAGCATCTCTTGACTCTATCACTGTGTTTATAGACACAGAGTCATTAGATTCTAAGACATAGAATCTATATGCTTTGGAATGCTCAGCATATCCAATAAAGATACAATCTATACCTCTCTCACCCAATGTTTTCCTTTTGGGTTCAGTGAGCCTTACAACTGCTCTACAACCCCAAATTTTGAGATAACTCAAATTTGGTACCTTTTTACACCAAAGTTCATAAGGAGTATTCTTACTCCTTTTATTTGGAGTTCTATTCAAGATGTAACATGCAGTTAACATTGCCTCACCCCAAAACCCTTCACTTAAGCCAGAATATGACAACATGGAATTAACCATTTCTTTCAAAGTCCTATTCTTCCTTTCAGCTACACCATTTTGTTGTGGTGTATATGGAGCTGTGGTTTGATGTATTATTCCAGTTGATTCAAAATAAACTGGATCATAATACTCACCACCTCTATCAGTACGCAATACTTTTATTAATTCATTTTTATGAAGCTCAACTTGTTGTTTATAAATTTTAAATTTATCAAGTGCTTCATCCTTAGAATGTAGCAAATAGATATAACAATATCTAGATGCATCATCAATGAAAGTAACAACATACTTCTTGTTTCCAAGGGAAGGTGTTGCATGGAAATCACATAAATCACTATGTATAAGATCCAACACCTTGCTTTCCCTAACAACATCTTTGAAAGGTTGTCTAGTGATTTTAGTTAGCATGCATGTTTTACATTTTTCATTATTTTGCATATCAAAAGCAGGAATCAAACTCATTTTAGACATGTCTTTTAATCTCTTGTAATTAATGTGTCCTAGTCTAGCATGCCATAAATTAGATTTATGAAAATTATTGCTAGTACTACTAGAAGCCATGAAAATAGAATTACCACTAGAAGGATAATTAATATTAAGCCTAATCATTCCATTACATATATATCCAAATCCCATAAAAGAACCATGTCTTGACAAGATATACTTGTCACTTTCTAACACTTGTTTGTAACCAGAATTATTTAATACAATTTCAGACA